AAGGTACCCACCGCCGATGCCTAACAATCTAGACAATCGGGCAACGGGGATCCAGCCTCTCGGCACACGCAAAAACCGTCCGATATACTAAGTTCTGGTCAAGTCAGATTAAACGCGATTCATTAGGGAGAGAAAACAAGAAAAGCGACGAAAGCAAGTCGATCGATTGAATTCTTGCCGATTGGGATCGAACCACTTGTCGAAGACAGAGCGTGTTCTCAATTAGCCGTTTAATGCATTTTGCAACTGTGCGAAACACAACACATCAAGCGATAGCGAGTGCGTGTAACATTCACAGCCGGCATCACCAGTGCCGCGACGCACGTGGCGTGAAGACGTAGCCGACTACGTCTCAATGAGACATCCCATGCTCCCTGCACCCCTTGACAGTACGACTCCCGGCACGAACCGTGATACTTCTCAAACGAGCACTCGCAGGACGAGGAAAAGCCTTTCAGTCTGATTTACTCTATACGCGCGATATTTGACGGCACTCCGCGTTTAGCTGCCCGTGAAAATATCAAGTTCCGTCGGTCCAGTCAGCACCCGGGTCGGTGAGCTTTTCGGGACACACGATAACTCTTCGAGCAAAGGCTAGGACCGAAGCGGAAGAAGACGAATCGACTGACTTGAATCCGACGTCTCTTGTTTCTGAGAAATCACGTCTAAAATTGACTCAACCATCGCATAGCCAACGGTTCAGGTCGAATCACCAGGGCGGATACCATACACGTGATATCAAAAGTCACCCGGGCTATCGAGAAGGCTGGTAGATGTGACGAGAGAGAAGGTACCCACCGCCGATGCCTAACAATCTAGACAATCGGGCAACCGGGATCCAGCCTCTCGGCACACGCAAAAACCGTCCGACTAAGTTCTGGTCAAGTCAGATTAAACGCGATTCATTAGGGAGAGAAAACAAGAAAAGCGACGAAAGCAAGTCGATCGATTGAATTCTTGCCGATTGGGACCGAACCACTTGTCGAAGACAGAGCGTGTTCTCAATTAGCCGTTTAATGCATTTTGCAACTGTGCGAAACACAACACATCAAGCGATAGCGAGTGCGTGTAACATTCACAGCCGGCATCACCAGTGCCGCGACGCACGTGGCGTGAAGACGTAGCCGACTACGTCTCAATGAGACATCCCATGCTCCCTGCACCCCTTGACAGTACGACTCCCGGCACGAACCGTGATACTTCTCAAACGAGCCCTCGCAGGACGAGGAAAAGCCTTTCAGTCTGATTTACTCTACTACGATTTACTCTAGTACGACACTCCCGAAGAAAACGCGCGACGCGACGAACTGGCTACAGTTCGTTTATTCAATTAAATCGGCGGCGGAAAAGTTATTAATAACAGTAATATTATTCAATATTAATATTAATGTTACTAATAACTGTGCAACGGGTACTGTTAGCTTCTTCGTCTTTGGGGTACGTACCCGAGTAGCACAAATTAATCGGCAAATTATCAGCCAACATCGGACCAACAGCTAACGTCTGGCCAATATTCTGCCGATAATAATACTGCTTGAGTAACCCCTCAGAATACTGAGCCCCTCTGCCACGACAAGGCCATACCCTTTAGAGGAGTTATTATTTATAAAAAGTCATAAATTTCAAAAGGAATAAGACGCGCGAAATGTATATCTATTTTGTTAAGAAGTCATTTTTTTCGATACATTTATGTCATTAATCAATCATAATTAATAAGTATTTACTATTATTCATATGATGCTACAACGTTTGGTATTGTTTAACAATAAAAAAAATACGAAGGGACGCGGCGCGACACGCACTGCTATCTGCTCCTATGAACGCCGATTAGAGAAAAATAACACGTGGACGGCTCGTAAATACCGGCCGTATATACATATAGTGCGCGTGCGCTAACCCGGCGCGTAAACAATGCTCAAGGCTACGTCATCAACAATATTACAATTAATATTTAACTGATACGAGGCTCTAACATATTTTGATAACTCAATACTGCCAAATACTGGCAGTAGTAGTACTGGCAATAGTTAAAAATACTTTTAAAATCGTGTGAACCTCCAGAAATGTATATAGACAGATTTCGCAGTCCTTTGTCGCTCAAGCATGATTAGGATAAGCGAATAGATAAATTCCGATTGTCAGATTCAGATACACGTAAGCTAGTTAAACTGCTATGACCATGACAGTGGGAAAAAAAATGTACGAGATATAAGCGAAAATTCAAGTCTGGAGGGAAGTATTCTATAATTCTTTTAATTTAACATAATTTTATATGAATTCATGTCGTAAAAATTCATAAAAATAAAAATATTAAAAATATCTTCACGAAATAGTTGAACAAATTTAACTTAAATAAAATTGAGAATATATAAAAGTAATTATTTTAGAAATCTAAAACTTTGCACAATTAAGCTTATATTAAAAAATTAAACTCGTTAAATCACAAAAGCAGAAACCTAAGAATTTACAAATGTAAAATACGATAATATTTTTATATTTTTATTCCAAGATTTTGAAATATTTTATTATTAAACTTTTCTTATTGAACTTTTATTATTGAACTTTTCTTATTGAATAAAACTGAATGCTCACTGTGAATTAGAATCTGTCGTTTGTAATCTGTACTGTATTCGCATACCAACATTACATATTACGCTCTATAGTCGCTCTATATCTATAACAATTGCCGAAGATTCTCAATTATAATATTAGTATAAAATAAATAAGCTCGCATGTACTGATGTGTGTTATGT